CCTCACGTAGTGATTGAACATCGGATTGAAGCAATATTAACCACCCCATCCATGTTCTTCGAGCGGTGGAGATGACGGGATCTGATGCAACTCTTTCATTTATATTCCGACGGGGCCGAATGTGGGAAGATCCAAACGTGGAAGATAGAGAGATCGGAGTGTGTGGAAAAAGTACGCCTTATCTACGCGTGACCGTCGTGAGATGTTTAATTAAGGTCCCCCAGATCGCATGACCATCGCATCGTAAATTTATTAACGATGACGAAAGATGACTGCTGCAACCTTGTCATTTAGCCCATGATTTCTTTTGCACGTCTTCGGGACCATTCCTGACATTTGTCAATCAGAGAGAGGCAAGATGGCAATCGTTTGGCAACATCACAAACGGACGCTTCGTTAGGAAAAGAAGAAACAGTTTCATTAAAATACTTAATCAAAAATAATACTTAAAAGTTATAATTAAGGAAATAAACTCAAAAAATATAACAAAAGTTATAATTGTCTAATTTTGATAAAAAATTTATAATATACATATTTTATTTTATGAATTTCTCAATTATAAATCTAGTAACTTGTGCCTATACACTTACAAGCCAATATTTAAGCCTCGTGTTTAATCCTTGATTACTATTGCTAACTTCTGCGTACTTTTTTTTTCTTCAAAAGATAAACTCAGAACATTTTTTTGAGATTATTATTATTAAATTATCAATTTCAACCATTAACAATTCTTTTAAATATTTTTATATCAATTAAACGTTATTTTAAAATTTCTTTCTTAAATCCATAAAAAAATATTTCTACAATCTTTCTGTTCCATTTCCCAATCCATAGATGCCATATCTTAATCTACAATTAAACACAAATAAATCCATGTTTACATGCTTATGAAGTCAGTCTTTAGTATTTTGAATTTTTCATGAAAAAACATTGTATACAACATTTTATAAATGTTTCTGAATTATAGGAAGCAACATATAAACACAGTGTTCATGTCAAATCTGTACATATATATCATAAACAAAGTAATTTATTAAATGGGGATAGTGCTATAACCAGTATAGCTTATAAAATTACGTTCCAGACATTCAGAACACTCAATACGATATCGAATATTTAGTAAAGTGTTTTGTTGAATATTTGTAATAAAATTTCATATTTTGCTTAAATTAAATCCCACATGTGAATACTTTATTTTAGCCCCCAAATAACATATTTATAAGTAGGAAAAATACGTGTAGCTTGCGTCACTTTTTTCCTATGCCCCATAACTAAAATAACAATGATTAAAAGTTCAAAATAGAATATTATTTGTCATACTTTGAAAATACTATGTTAATTTTTGTATTATTTTAACACCAGATATTTCAATATGAAAAATTATTTTTTTAAAAATAATAAATGACCCAACTATTACTATAATTGTACCTTGGGCCAGTACTTTATACCTTGAGCTACGAATTGCATCTTGGGTAATATGTGTTGTAATAGGAATCATAATTATTATTCAATAATAAGTATCACTTATCTACACTGGTAAACTAACTTTTTCATATCATCTGTTGAAAGACCACAATATATTACGCTTGCTATAAGTACCTAATATTTTATAAACTTCTTCAGTAAAAGCTATGAATCAAGGATTCATTCACACAAAAGACACATTTTGAAATTATATTAATGTACCTTGGGCCGGCCTAAGGTACATTGTAAAACTGTGGCCCAAGGTACAATGATATGAATTTATTTTTTTAATTAAATTTTTTATTTCATTTAGTAGTCCTAAAATATTTTACTTAGAACTTGTCTTCCAAAGAAGCTAGAGAGATTAATATATATTAATCAACTAATAATTTTGAGTATGTTTATATACTTTTTTTTACTAAATATTATTATATAAAGTGAATACAAATTGCTTTTCCAAATATTATCAAAATAAAAAAAATTAAACGGATCAGTGGCACCAAAATCAGCTGTTAAATGTTCTGGCAGTGCAGCCTACTCAATGTTACCACAAATCCTAAATTTCCCCTGTGGAATTTCTTATTCCTACGGTTTTCCATTTGAAATACAATCAAAATCACCTGACAAGTTCACTGATTTATAAAGAATGGACAGCAAACTACTGTTATGTCTTTTTTTACTAACAAATATATCTTTTACACATCAAATAGAAAACAAGTAATTAATCGAATGAATAATAGTAATAATTTTTTAAAATATATTGCTTTAAATTGTTTTCCAGTTTTTCATTTCACCTGTCTAATACTTTTCCTTTTATTGTAGTGGTCAGTTTGAGACGATAAATATAGGATATATGTAGAAGATAATTGGTGTCCCTAGAAGAGTATCCAGGAAAAAAAAACTGAAAAATTCAGTATTCTATAATAAGGAAGTTCAAAAATTGCTCTTTTCTAAACTGGAATAAAGGTTATTGTCTGCTGTTTCCAAAAGGTGATTATAAATAAGAAGATATCACTTATTCAAAGAATACATAAAGAAAATATCAAGATGCAATTGAAAAAAAAAGTATAGAACTGTTAGTTTTTCTAAAAGATACTCAAAGTGCTTTTTGCATTAATTGTCCTTTCTTGTAAGTTTTGGTTGCAGAAAGGTTTTTCCGCTGTTTGGAATATTCTAATAGAGCGAAAAGAAGCTTGGTACATGCATGCTGTGATCTAGCCTGTCCACCTCTTTTAGTTACATATATATATATATATATATATATATATATATATATATATATATATATATATATATATATATATATACATATATGTATATATTTTTTTTTTTTTTTGAGCCTTTATTATTTATGGACCTGTGGATATCACATGATCCTACCTCAATATTTAAACGTTATTTATTTATAGAAATAAAATAATCAAATCAAAACACTTGAATCATATAAATAAATTGCTTATACCACTTAGCTTTTAAGTGATGAAGATTTCAAAGTTTATCCAATGAAAAATATATATAAATATTTATTATTATTGATCTAAAGGTAATGAGCTACCATATATAAACCGTATAGAAAGAATTTCAGTTCGTGTGTCTCAAATGAATGGAACGAAGTTTTGTGTCAGCATAAGGCGGATAAATTTACAGTTAAAAGTGGAAACAAGTGTTACGTTTTAAAGTTATTGCATCTGAGGAAAATTGAATTTAATGAGTTATTATTATTATTTTAGTCTCGATTTTTAACATAAAAATTTATTCAACTTATTTATTCATTATTAATTTCTCAAAAACACAAATTAACGTCCTCGAGAATTACGTGTTGATCTTATAGTATTGAATATACTAATTACTGATTTACACGCAATATTGAGAGTTTTTTTTTTAATTAACGAACTGCCATATATATATATATATATATATATATATATATATATATATATATATATATATATATATATATATATATATATATTTAACTTAATGTATGAGGATTGATCATCATCAGAATTATTTCTTACACGTATCACTGCTGTCAAATATATATATTAAATTGTTTATTCTGAAACATCAGTAAAAATGAACTCTTGTAATACTTATCAAATATGGAAGTTGTGGCTTGAATAAAAATAATCAAATAAAATATTAAATTATTCGGATTATTTTCAAAAAGTTTCTAATGTAACTGTATTTTTTATTGATCTGAACTTTTAAGAACTTTTTTTTGTGAATTTCAAACTTATTTTTTGACAAAAACAGCAAGTGAAATAGCATAAATCCTTTTATATACCTAATGTACTTACACCAATTACACATTTCCTTTTATCGCAAAGATAAAATTCATCAAAGTTCCTCAAAGTGATTTAACGTTATTAAATATCAATGACTTTTTATTTTTTTTGTTTGTTTATTTATTTATTTTTTTATAATGGTTTACATCCAATGCAATTAGTTAGAATTTGGTGATATATTCAGAAAGGTATATTCGATGGAATTTATTATCACAAAAGTTAATATTGTTTATATGGATATAACTTTCTTCGTTTCGGTTCCAGTCAAAGACAACTTTCACATCTATAAGAGGCAAGGAAAGTAATATTAGCGATTTACAACTAAAACCTGTTGTAGTTTTTTTCCAACATTACCAGATGAAGAGAAAGGGGTCTTATGTTGATTTGAGGGTCTCAGTATTTGTGATGAATTATGTTATCCCGAAACGGAATGGTTCGCTGACAAAGCTGTGGATTGCCAAGTGGTTTTGAATAATTTAATACGATAACATTTAAAAAAATATATATTTCAAAACAGTGAGCCGAAAGGTAATTAAAAGCGATCATAAGAGAAGTCAGAACATTGTATGTTTCAAAGCCACGTATTTTTTAACTAAAACAATGAAAAGGAAAATAATTTTTAATTTTACTATACCTCACGTGATTTTTGTTTTTAACCCTTCTGATTTATAATTTTGTTAGTCGTAAGTGATAACTCAATTCATTAATATTTCATTTCATTTATTTATTAAATCCATATTACCAATTGACAGATTTTACATTCAAATTATACGATTTTTATATATTTATAATATTTTATTCCATCGTGTTTTTGTACCCGTAAGCCTTCGTTGATTCTTGAACTCTCATTTTTAAATTTTTTTCTAACTTTAGATCATCTAACAGCTCAACACAGAACTAATTTCTTTATATATTATTTTGAGAGGTTTTTTTTGCACTTGTATTTGTAAACATGTTGGTTTAAAACATAAATGTTACTAAACATGAAAGTTTTAAAATAATTTTCTTTTCCCTGGTCGATTACAATTATAAATAAAATAAGAATTGATTCTTCCATCTTATGATACGTTGCATCATTTTCTTTCTTAATTATTTAGTCATTCGTTCGCTGAACAAACTATCTACACTATCTTTGTTTTCGCACGGATTAACTAATATCTATAACTGAGCTTATTTATTGTTGATAACCATTCAACTATTGAGAAGAGGTGGACAGGTTAGTCAAAGATAAGATACTTATATATTTACCTGTGGCGACACCCCCAGCATCTTGAGAGACGGAGGAACGTTCAAGGACGCGGGTATCTGAACGTGGCCGAAGTCGACGGTGAAGGCCTCGCACCATACTCCAAAGTGGCCGATGTCGAAGATGGTCAAATCTCCAGGTAGGGTGAGGACGATTGTCTTCCTGTCGTACCTGAGGTAAGCAAGAAAGTTTAATTAGTAAAAAATAATCTAGGCATCATAATATCCAGGCGGCATTTGTCCACAATGTTCAGCTGGATTATCTCTGTCTGATAAACAAAACTATTCATTACTTCTGGGCTGCGAACATTAGGTTGTATGAAAGTGTTCGCAAAAATAAAAGAATAATTTTTAATAAATAAAAAATTCAGTAAATCAAAGTTATTTACTTTATTTACAAGAATGGTAGTCGAAAAAAAAGTAGGAATTGACTATTAACTTTATGAAAACAGAGCACCTTGGTACTTCATCTGATGACACGGCAATCGGAAGAGATATAAAAACTGTAGAAAAACTTAAATACTTAGGATCAATATTTAATAGAGAAGGCACATCCACCAATGATGTCGACAGAAGAATTGGTGAAGGAATTAAGGCCACAGCAATACGCAACAGTTTCCTTTGGAGTTCCAATATACAGCCCATTACAAAGATGCTAATATACAAGGCTGTATTCGAGCCAATAATAACATTTGCTTTAGAGACATGGGTCATCAACGCAAAAGCCTGTTAGTAGTAGAGATGGACTTTTGGAGAAGGACAACAAGGAAATCCAGGGTGAAAAAAATGAAAGAAACATTGTAGCAAATATTGAAAAGAAAAGGTTATGCTGGTTTGAGCATGTGAAAATAATGATGCCTGAAAGATTGACAAATGCCTGATATGGAGCTGGAAGTAGAAAGAACTAGGAAAAAGGGAAGACCAAGGGCAAAATGGAAAGACGCGGTGGAAGAAAACCTGGAGGGTCATGGCATCAGAAAAGAACAATTCTCAGATAGAGAAGGATGGAAGAATATCTTCAAGAGTATTTAGATCAAGGATAACCGCAGTAGTGGAAAAGTCCTTAATGAAAAAATAGTTATTTCGCTACACAGCTAGTTAAATGGTTGTTTCTAAACTCAACGATAAGCTCATTGTAGTTATCATCAGCAGTACGTCTATTAGCCCATTGATGAATATCTGTCCGTCTCTGCATTCATCGATTAAATCACTGATGATCTGTTTCATCTTTAATCTAATAAATAATAAGCAACCAAACGAACGAATTGGTCTTATTAAGCAAACTTTCCTCGTCTAATTTTAGTGAATATAGCCAGTGCAATATTAACTCGTCGAAAAAGATAGTTCCAAACCTATTACAAGTCTCTACGTGCCCAAAAAAAAAAAAAAGAATATAGGTCTCAACTCTGTACTGTAATTTTCCAAAGACATTTTCGCTGTATTTCGAGAGTTCATTACTTATTATCATAGTCTTAAGAACCACACTGTTGAATACTTGCTTATAGGAGGACTGTTGATTGACTTTATTTTTCTAGTTTCTTTAAGTATAAATAGCAGCATACATTTCAAGAATGTAGCAATGGAAGAGTTCTTTTTTTTTTTTTTTTTAGTTCTTGTGTGCCCCAAACAACTCTCTACATCTCATTATATTATATTCTTGTAAATATTGGTAACCTACTAGATGTTATAATAAATAACTATGGTATAAGTATTTCATAACATGAATAAACTAAACATAATACATAACAATAACAATAGTAAATTACCTTCTCAGCGGGGTTTGCTTTCCGTTCTCGTCTGGAACTCTGATTCCTTGAGGGCTCGGTTTTTGCCCACGACCAACCCAGAACTTAGCATCTGAAAAACGATCGATGCTTGTTATCATGTCTATAAGTAATTAAAGAAACATATTTTAATATTAGAGGAGATAAATCAAAATGAAACTAAAATAGGAATATATTTTTTTTATATTACTAAAAATGAAGATTTCGTTGCAAGAATTGCATCTCAACATATAAATCTTTACTTAAATTACTTTTTTTGGTAATTTCCTTCCAGTAACTTGTCAAGCACAAAATTAAATTATCTCTTCTATCTACACTCATGATAATTTTTATTAAATTCTTTTCTTTTTTTTTTTTTTTTGTTTAATGAAAACTTTTCTCCGAGATTTCTAAGAAACTACATATCGGGCTTGCATACTGTAAGCTAGGGAATCGTTCGGCATTTCATCCTCTCTGTTATTCAAAATTGTTTTTCAACGCGACGTCGCGTTAGGGAGGCAAAAAGGGAAAAAAATAATGTCGAAAACCAAAGTATAAAGAGTTTTATTGAAGATATGAATTAAAATATCGCAGAAACTAAAAATTGGACCTGCATACTGTAAGCTAGGAAAATGTGCAGCATTTCGTTCTCCTTATAACGAGCTATTATTTATAATTTATATTTCATATTATTAATCTCGCTTTGTTGATGTCTTCACTTATATCGTGTGGTCTAAAGCGCACATCTTAGTTTTTTTTAGTCTTCAACGCATAAAAGATATTATTTCGCTTTGCATTCATTGATTGACTAAATAAGTAAAAGTTCATTTATATGTACCAATACAAATTTTGTTATGTATTTTTAAAAGTAAGTAACTGAATACATTACATTATATTTTATGTAATATGCTAAATCACTGCAGTTAACCTATGATTCAACTAATTTCTAAAAAGCGAAATAGTTATGCAACAAGGAAACGAGCAGAGACAAGTTTGACTCCTTGTGTAACAGGTTCTTGTCTTTAGACTATCAACGAAAATATTCGGAATCGGAGAAACGTTTTGGGACAGCATCGAAAATCGGAAGTAATTTAGGTTTTTATAAAGATCTCGAAAGGATTCATATTTTATGCCGTTTCAAAGCGAAACAATCACAACTGATATTTAATTTAGTTTATATTATTTTTGTTATATTTATTCGAAAATAGTTAATTTTAGAAATAGACCTCCAAGTAAACAATTTTTCAGGTAATATACTCCTATTTATTATTATTTATCATTCGTAATATATACTTATTAATTATTGGTAAATAATAACGAGTATTCATAAATAATTTTGATAGATACTTTCATTTAACAGTTTACAAAAAATGGATAAGGACCTTTAATATTTCATAAGCCTAAAAAGAATTTAAAAAATAATAATAAATTAAAAATAAATCATTAATTGTTCCATGAAGAATTAATACACTTTTTAAAGACATCTGTAAAGTATGTGATAGTAATAGTAATAATAATATAGACCAACGTTCAACAAATATTATTGATTGCAATAATATTTGTTTTACATTTTAATTAATGTATTTTTAAATTATTAATTTTTCAAAAATTTCGTATTCAGAAAACCCTATTTCAACTTTTTCCAAATAATTATTTTTCTATATACTCTTTTTTTCTTCTTAGATAAGAATGAATGTTTTATCTGCAATGTCGCAAAGGATTTTTGATCAAATTTAGTTCAAACCAAAACTTATTTAGTTTAAAAAAAAAAAATACATTTCCTATATTTAGATTATAATTCCCAAATCAAGAATTGTTTAATTTAAAAAAAAAAACAGGAATAGAAGATTACTACGTTTTATAAGACATATACATACAAAAAGTAGAAAATCCAGATATACTCAAATTATCGTTAAACAAGGCAGGAACCCAAAATTATCAGATAGAAAAAGAATTGTAAGTGGTACTGTTCAAATACACCAATTTTTACTTGTGATCAAGGACATAGTATTTGATTTATCATTAAAAAATATTCCTTATATTATAATTAATAAATATAATTATTTCTTTTTTTAATGATCTGACCTCTAATATTTTTTTCAACTATAGTTAATATAAAATACAAATTTTAATGACCACAAAACAATAATGAAATATTAAAACGAATATTTTATGGTTATTATGTTGAGTATTTGAATTTATCCGAATGGTTCAAATTATTAATAATTCCAGGATTTTTAAACGGTTCTGTTGAAAGACGTACTAATATGCATATAATGAAGAGAATGATAGTAGGGATGATCAGTCAAAAATAAAACTGGCAAAAATAAATAACAATATTTATTTTAACATTTGCCGACGTTTCGACCCTAAGTTCAGGCCTTTATCAGGGCTGATCGCTATTGAATATGTATATATATTTTCCATGATGTATTGCATTATGTTTTTTGTATTTATATTTTTTCTTATTTAATGGACCTTGAGGATAAAGTAATCAAATTTTAACAACCGAAGACAAAATCGCAATTGACTATATTCTTGACATTGACAGTTGGAGAGGTTACTTGTTGATATTAATTTATCACAAGGCCTTTCGACCCGATAAAAATTTATTAACACCAAAAATATTTCTTATAATCAGCTGCTCACCTGTAGCATAACAATAAAAACTAGCTAAAATTCCAATATTTAAACTAATATAAAAATAAAAATAACACAGAAGGCATAAGTGGTTTTTCGTTTTGAAGTGGTTTTTCTTGATATTTATAGATCCGATGCGTTTTTGTCAATTTTTGAGTTCTTGCTATTATAACATGGGTCCAACAAAATGAAAAATAAATTTTAAACTGCCAATAGTTGGATAAAATATCTATGAACTTACACTAATCCTTGCTTTGTATTGTATTTATCTCTCGTAGAATATGAAAGTCTATTACTGAGAGTATAGAAGTCATAAGCTGGAAAAATTTTTTTATTTATTAAAAATATTATCCTATTCTATATTACATTATTAATAACCTATATTATCGGAAGTGTTCAAGAGATCGCAGAGCTATTCTCCTCTAGGACATATTCAGTAGATTCTTAACTCGTAGAAGACAATCATAATAAGAAATATATTATTTTTTAAAAAGTAAATAAAAATGTTGTAAGTATCCCATGGTAACCGTGACACCTAAGAAGCTATCGGCAAGAATTGCAATTTGTTGTTTTGTAACTAAATAGGTCTTTGATGGCCATGTCTAAATCTTCAAAATAAAAGTTTTTATGTTTCAATTCGTCGATTTTTGGAAAGTTTTGAAATCTGTCAATTTTTTCAATGATTTTTATGAAAGAAGTTGAAATTTAATGATTGAAAATGAGATTCGTCACTTCTCCGTGAAATTCACTTTCATTTGATACCTCATTCAACAAAATCCTTCGCTCCTGAGAGCCGGAAAATCCTACTGGATTATATATATGGTGTAAATTTTGCACTATTCTTAGACGCAACAGATACAATTAAAATATCAGCTACAGGAAAAGGCAGAGTGAGATGTTTTTATTAGTAACGGATTATATAACTGTTTAAATACGTTCTGTAATTAAAAGGAAACCTCGGTCCGCCATTGCAGTTCGGACAGAGTTGCTGCTAACCAGAGGAACTAATTAAATGAAGACCCCTTTGTGAGGCTTTGCGGAGCTCATAAACGCAACAATGAGGGGGCACGAGGGGCAGAGCCCCCCATTGTTGACCCAACAGATTGGCCCCGTACCGTGAAATGAACTGTCTATAACGGTGACGTCCCGTTCACTGCCCGCGACAGTGCGGCTTCTTCTTCAACTGTCAAGGTGCTAAGTATTTATTAATTATTATGAAGTATCCCAAAAGATATTTAATTTTCAAAAATTCATCAACATAGAGCGCTTTATTATTTTATTCTCTTTTGATATTCACTGCTGAATATTTCTAACCAATGGAAATCCTAGGGAAGCCGTTCTGACCCTACTTGACAGATTTTTTACCGACATACTATTTAAGCGAGAATAATGGATGAAATTTGATGATTGATTTGAGACTATCACAATTTCCAAATATTTCATGAAAATCGGATGAACGGAATTAGGTGATAAATCCGTCACATCAACTCGTCTACAGTAGCGAATCCAAGTTGATTTTTTTTATTTATTCAGTAATATAACATTCTGTCACTAGGACAACAACTATAGCAAGGTAAGAATGTAAAAAAGAATAAGAAAAAAAAAAAACCTGTACCACTACAACCCATGAAGGGTCTTGGGTTCAGTACTATTTAGGGAAAGTACTGTTGTCAAGGCCTACGGTTGTGCAGAGAGGGGATCGGGACAGGATCACGCTCAACCGCCAGGTTATTCCCCTTAATCAATGATTTAATTAAAAGTACCCACTTTATAGAGGATGGGTGTGTCCCAGGAAGGTCTCACTATCACAGAATCGCCCCACGGCCAATGAAACAGAATAAAAAATTTTTCTGCCATGAGCCGAGATTCGAACCCGAGACTTTGAGCACCGGAAGCTTAGTTCCCTACCACTCAATAATAATCAAATAATAATCGAAAGTATAAACAATAAATAAGAATGAAATAACTTAAAAATAATTAAATTTAAAAAAAAAACATTAAACAAAAACCACAGACTATATACAATATAATTTTTTTTTAAAGAACTGTAAATACTCTCGGGAAAAAAAACTGTCTTTGTCAAATGATGTTGAAGTGATCTTTGAAGGGCAATAAGAAAAATGAAATAAAAAAAATCGTAACTAGAAGAAACAATAATGCTTTTAGCGATTGATTCCTTATATTTTTTCTTAATGACTGCTTACATTTAGCACCTGTATATCCATTATAATTTAAAAGATATTTTTTTTTTCTAAATCCCAAAAAAGTTTATTTAATTACAATTACATATATAAGTATAACAAATACAAATATATACAAAGAACAAGGTCCTGCCACTTTTAGATTTTAAGAATATAATATATTGTGGTCTAGATAATATATGTAGTTAAGATAATATGTTATGTAATTTTACATTTAGCCGGAGAGAGTTTCAGCTCATAAGCCCTCCTTTGT